CTGAACTTCTTGCGCCGAAAAGTGGAGGTCCCAAACTCTAGGTTAATAATTGAAAAAAAAAAAAAATTGAATATATAAAAAAAAAAAAAAAAAGAAGAAGAAGAAAAGAAAAAGAAAAATTTGCAAAAGTAATAAAAAAGTGAGGACTTCTGCCAAGAAGTGAGAAGTGGGAAATGATTAGATGGAGGTTGTCTTGATTTGTAGTCTAGTTGATTTGAGCTTGTAAGTCCGTAGGGGTGTTTGAACACCTAATGCCCTAAACCTGTCTGGTTTAGGAGTCATTGACCTAACGCTCGACCTCATGAATCGCTAGAAAGCTTAATAGATCAACACATTGCACCATGCTTCCATCTTTGATCCTTAGGATTAGAAAAAAAAAAAAAAAATGATGAGTGAAAAGAATAAGTGCACCTAGATCAATAAAGCTTTAATAAAAAGTCCACTTTTTGTCTAAATGATCGGTATGAGATTTGTGTGCTAGTTTGAGGGTAAGGATGTGATCATTTCTTTAGTTGGCTAAGATAGCAACATATTTGATGCCGGTCCACTCAAAAAGGATTCTAGAGTTGTTTTGATTTGCATGATCATTGTCTTGATGTGTGGTGGACCATACTTGCTTGCTCGATGTTAAAATTTTGGGAGATTGTTAAGAAATGGTTGAAAAATTGCATACTTGAAGTAGTTTTCTCCCAATGTTTGTTTGCAATATTGGTGCCTCTTTTGAAAGAATGAGCTTAATATTTGTGGGTATCATTTCTGGAAACCCTCACGAGACTTCATTCGTCCACTAGAGGTAACCTAGGGGTTTAAAAGGTTTGTTGCATGTGCGAAGTGCAATTGTGTTCCCTACGAAAGTGGTGTTATCCATTTATTGCTTTCTAGTTGTAGTTGTTTAGTTGTTCATTTCATTTCTTTACTTCATAGTTCATTGTTAGGGACTAGCAATATTTAAGCTTGGGGGTGTGATGAGCGCTGAAAAGTACACTTTTAAACCCCTTAAGCTTGAGTATTCTAGAACCTTTATCTATCTTATTTTCCCATTTTAGTACTTATTTGTGTTTTTGTCTATTTCAGGTCAATAATGTTAAAATGGGCTAAAAATGGTTTCTTAAGGCCTTTTTGGAGACAAACTAAGTCTTAGTGATGATCCGGAGCGAAAGGAGGCTGATTTGGAGCAAAAAGAGGCTGATCCTGAAAAGCTGCCAAGTGAGATCAATCATGAGATCGATCGCAGAAAGTGAGATCGATCAAAGTTGGATCGATTGAAAATTAAAGTTGGATTGATCGAACTTTTCTGTGATCGATGGTGATGCTCTTCCTCTAAGTGTGCACAAAATAATGCACAACACCTTGAGATTGGAAAGTAGTGTCAAGTGGGCATCATAGTTGAATTTATAAACCACTAAACACCTATACTATGTAGTATGAGTGAGAAGGGGTCGTCCCAAGGGATTAGAGTTGTACTTGAATGTGAAAATGAAACTAGGGTCAGTAGGTCGAGTGATCAACAAATGGTTGGTTGGTCAAGCAAACTAGAGAGCAACTAAATTAAACTAAGTGATTGAATGTAACAAGAGTAAGCGAGAGAGAGAGAGAGATCATAGGGTTTAGAGGTCACCACCAAGCAATGCTTTTCTACACTTCCAACTAGTGACTAAAGAGGGTAAAGTGTGTTACAATATTTGTGTGTATGTGCTTGGTTGATTCAATTAGCAGGGGTGACCAATTTAAGCATACATTGTCTAATCAAGATGTGAAAAGCACAATATATCTAGCAATTAAGTATATATTGTCTAAATAGCATGTGAGAAGCACAACATATCTAGCAAGTCATTAATCCTTCCATTAAGTTCACAAGCCAAACACACCACAAGGTTAGAGACATATGCTACTTGCATTCAAAAGTATGGAACATCAAACAACTAGCATGGATTGTCCTCTCATCTAACAATTATGTTATCACTACACTACAATTAAACTAGTGGCATGAAATTAAATTAACTAAGCTAAGGGAGAGGCATAATCCATCAAGAAGTGAGCATAGACCATCTAAAAAATCACAAGAGCATTCATTTAAGCACAATGTTTTGACAATCCCTAAACCCATAGCATTAATACACATAGACATGCATTAATTACACAAGAAATAGAGGTAAACATATGAACATCTATTCTAGCATACATAGACATATGGATAGAATGAGATGATTGATTGGAAGCATTAAACCACATAAATCATTGAATAAACAAGATATATATGTATAAAAGTGTCAAAACATTAACTACAACACTAATCCCTCAATAATACACAAGATTATGATATAGAAAGCATGCTTGGGGCTAACTCTAGCCCCAAGAGGATGTCTAGCCACTCATGGTGATGATGCTCTAACCCTCAAGGGCTAACTTCATGGTTGAAATCTGCTCCTTGTTGATGAAGAGTCTCCAATGGTGTCTCTAGCTTCCTCCTCCTCTAAGCTTCCTCTCCAAGAGATGATATGAAAGTAATGTTGGCTCCCCTTCTTGAAAAAGCAATCCTTATCCTTATATAGGTAGGTCAAAATGACACCCAAAATAAGCTGGGGTCATGCACATAATATTCCCTAAAGATTGGATAAAGGACAACTTTCAATGAGATGGAATTTTAACTTTTTCGCACTAGAGGAAGTTCGATTGATCGAAAGTAAGTGAGATCGATCGAACTTAGGCTGGATCGATCCAACTGGCTGAGTTTTTGGAAAAAGATAAATCCGAGATATTTATGAGAGATGTTTATGGGAAAAGGACAAAAGTGGATAGTGGGTGGTACAGTTGTGGATATGATCAATCATTTGAATAAGGACAAATTTGTTCGATCGATCGAAGGATGGTGTTGAATCGATAGAACTTTATGCTTTTGGGTCAAGGCTTAGATTTATCTTGAAGTGCTGAGATCGATCATTATTCGATCGATCGAACCTTGAACTTGGATCGATCGAACTTTGCTGCTTGCCACCTTTGGCTTCATTTGCTTCATTCTTTCTCCACTTTGCTCTTTTCTTTGATTAATCCCAGAATTGCTTCAATTAAGCTCTTATTTGGCTGAATTAGCTTATTTTCGGGATAAGTGCCTGAAAATGGAAATAATACGAAATCAATCTAAAATGGTAAAGTAAGATAGATAAAGGTACTAGAATGCCTAAGCGTAAGGGGTTTAAATGCGCACTTTTCAATGCTCATCAATCGATCGAACTTTTTCTCTGATCGATCAAACTTTTGCTGGCAGTGACCTGTCTAATTCCCGTGCGCGCCTAAAAGTCCACCTACCACATAGTACGAGATTAGATATTTTTAGAGCTATATTCCTGACTTAGTGACTAAGAAAAGGACCTTCTATATAAAGGGAAGTGACCCATTTTGTAAATAAGCTTTTATCATTTTATTTTTTACATTGTAATTTATATTTCTCTCTTTAGTAAAGTTAGAGATCAGGGTTAGAAGAAAAGAGGGAAGTAGAGGCACGTCTCAAGACCCATCTCTAGATCCACTCTCTCTCTATCTCTAGAGCTTCAAAGAAGAAGAAGAAGAAAAAAAAAAGAAGATGGACCCATGTTTGGAGCTTGATTTCATGACCACATCTACCTCCTCCATGATTGGCTAGATCTATACTTAGGGCTTGGATAAGCCTCAAGTCTTGTGTAATTTAAACCCTTGTATTTTTATTTTTGGGGATTTATATATATTGTTGTGATTAGTGCTCTAGCCTTGTGAATTTAATGAATCTTGGTCCATTTCTATAATTTCTATGGTTTAATTCTTCCATTAATTCTTTAGTTTATTTATGTGTCTATGTGTGATTAAATTAGGAATTATGTCTCACATGATTCATATGATTTAATTCTTCCTATTGATTCTCTTTGTAATTACATGTTGTCTTATGTGTGATTATTTGGGAATTGATCTCTACACTAGTTTTTCTATATTAATTGTATGTCTATGTGTGGTTGATTGAAAATCTAGTGATGGCTAGGCATGGGTTTTCATTGAATGGGTTTGTCAATTAATTTGATGGTTTATACTTATGCTTGATGGGTTGTTCTACAATTTAATTCATGCTTGTAGGTAAGTAGACAATCTATGCTTGCTTAGATATTCCATGGCTTATTATTGCAAATTCCATGATTCTCTAGATTGATGTGTGCTACAATTGTTGCTACTTAGATGGGTCATGCTTAAAATTGATAGGTTGTGCTACACTTAGTTTAGGTAGACAATTCATACATAAATTAGATGGTCCATGCTTAATATTGCAATTGGTAGTCGCATTTTGTTCATAACAATATACTCCCCATTAATGGAAAGCAAGTGGTTAATTACACGAGCTTAGTGGAGATTCCAACACCCTAAGTCCTCTATTCATATATCTTAAATCCCTATCTCTAATTAGTTTTATTTCACTTTCATTTTAATTAATTACTTTATAGAGTAATCAACCAATCTCTATCTTTTGCAATCAATTAATACATTAAAGTTGAAGTTAAATTCCAACACGTATAATCCCATGGGACGATCCCTACTCACTCTTACTATGTTAGTAATAGTGTTGGTAGTGGTTTTTATAAATTTAAATTTGACCTAAAAGGCTTTTCTTGAACCACACATTCACTACATTATTTTGACGTGGACAAGCGGCCTCGTCATCTTTCAATCTCTGTCAGCCGAAAGCACTGATCTATTCTCAAACTTTCCAGCAATTCTAGATTTCTAAGTCCTTCAATCTCTGTCAGATTAGTACAAAGTTCTATTCTCAAACTCGTCAATGATTTTAGTTTGCCAAGCCCTTGAATCTTTTTCAGATTATAGCACTCAGAAAGTCGCAATTCCAATAAGAGCTTCAAATTTGACAGATCCGGTAATCTTTCTAATGATGGACCACCAACAATATATAATCCAACCAGATTGGGAGGTAAACCCAATATACATTGAAGTTCTTCGCATGATTGTAGATTGAGGAATTTGAGCTAAGAAAGGGCATCAATCTCTTTCGGTAGGGTCATAATATTGCTCCATCCAAAGTCCAACCTCTGCAATTTGGATGATTTAGCAATATCACTTAAAATTATCTGATTCATGTTGTCAGGAATCTGATAACACCGCAGGGATTGTAGATTAACTAGATTTACAAGATTAGGGGTAACATGCAATCCCCACAACTCTACATGCAGAAATTGTAAACTTGAGGGAAGCTCTGGCAATGCTTCGACATCATCACAGTTTCCTAAGTGAAGGGTACGAATGCTTGTTGGTAGGCTTCGAATTCCTGTAGAATAAAAGCTGCTTAAGTATCTTAAACATGATAATCTCCTCTCCCAATGCAACTTGGAATGTTACCTGTCAATCTAGAACAATGTGCATCTATAATTTCCAGCTTCTTTAACGTCCTAATTTCATCAGGTAGCTCCCGTATTTTAGTGGATGAAATGTCAAGCATTTTTAAGTTACTTGCCATCTATTTACAAGATACATAAAAACATAGAAACAATCATACATATGTTCCAATATGTATGTATGTATGTATGTATGTATGTATGTAATGGGAGATGAGAAATGAATTGAGATTAAGAGAGTAGAGATTTTAAAATATATGTAGTATATACCTTAATTTGACTCCAACCATTCTAGTTCTCTGGGATCGTACTACCGCTTAGATCAATTATGACTAGTTTCTTCATATGAAAATTGGTTGCTTCAAAATGCAGAGGGGAATTTTGCCAACAAAGCCATCTTAAGTTTAATAAGCGATGCTTGAAATCCCTAACAACAAGTTCAGCTCCATCTATTTAGAGATACCGCAGTTTAGATCATTCTGTGAATTTGTCATACTCACATGTCATTCCAGCAACATCAAGATTTAGGAGTTGGACCTTTTCAGTTACCTATCAGTGAAAAAAATCATAAAAATAAGTAAGCAAATAAAAGAAACGATTTGCCACGTGCTAAAAAAGGAATTATTAATATTAGATATCGATTATTATTCTTATTTTTTTAAAAAAAATACCCATTCTTAATGACTTCTCTATTGAGTGTGCGCAGCGGAATGGTTGTGCAATATATTATATGGATAGATAATCTAGGGAGATGGTAAATAGATTCAACTTGCTCTTTTATCTAATTTTTACTTATTTTAATTTTACCGAAATAAAACTAAAATCAAACCACAAAGCAAAAATAAAGTGCAAGTAAAGTAAATAGAGTTCGAGAGATGACACCAGGATTTTATCGAGGAAACCCCAATTGGTAAAATAGACCAATTGTAACAGGAAAAACCTCGTTGGACTTCGCAGTCCTGAGATAAACGATCCACTATGTTTGAAGCAAAGTATACCGAACTTTGACTCAGTCTCACACCCTATCGTTCTACCAAAAACCAATTGCTAACAATCCCTGGCTTTGCGACTCCCCCGTCCAACAGCTCTCGACCTCAGGCTTACTCTCGATCTCTGTAGAAGAGTTGCAGGTAGATCAGACAACACTCCACGAATGCTCTGACCCCTTTAAAGTGTGATTGCTTCACCCCTTTTCTTCTAGATCTGAATTTGACGAAGAATGAATGAATTCTACTTTTCCAGAATTTCTGAATCTTCAATTATGCTTTAATTCCGATGAGATAGAGAACAACACTTCTAAATCACTCTTGCGTTTATGTGTGTGCTCTCAAAAATAAAATCAGAAAAATTAGATTGATTTTCTGAATGAATAAAAAATATCTCTCAAAAGGCTCTCTCAAAGATCTGAAATTTTGTATGCAAAAGCCGTGTCTAAACTAATGTGTATGACAAGGTTTATATAGAGTTTAGAAAGTCCTAATCCCTCAGAAAATATGATAAAATTCGTGCATAGGATTTGGAAGGAAGTTGGGGTTAAAAAGGAAACATTCAGAAGAAGGAAACTGAAGTTAGAATACTACAAGGACTTCTTGAACCTGTTCGATAAATCTTGAACCGGTTCAAGATGGACAGACTCTAAAATCTCCACTCTGGTGAAGTTAAACCTGTTCGATAAATCTTGAACTAGTTCAAGTTGAACCTATTCAATTATTCTTGAACCAGTTCAAGATGGACAGAATGTAAAATCTTGTTCCGAACAAAATGGAAAGTGTAGAATGTGTCCAACCTTTTTTAGAATCCTTCCTAATGTGTTGTTCTTACCTTCTTCAAAAAAAATCTCAGTTATGGTAACTTTGAACAACCTTTCCTTTCCGCAGTCGCTGTTGATCCAGATATAGTTACTTGAATTTACAACTGACTAGGACTTGTTTGACACCTAAAGTTTCCAATAACTGGATATATATTATTTACAATCTTCCCAAAATATATATCTCACAATCTCCCCCTTTGGTAATTTCGTGACAAAACCCTAAAGGTAACATGTAATCTACCTAAGTAGAAAAAACAAATTACAATGATTGTCAAAGAAATAAAATGGAACTCTTCTTGAACATCATGAAGCTTCAATATATGTAGCAATCTGTAATCTGCACATTAGCTCAACAAAACTACCCGTGAAACTTAATCAAGAAAGATCAACAATCAACATATATCAATATGTGAATATCAATGTATATGTATCTTCCTCTCAATTGTAGAAACTCTCCCCCTCAATTATGCACATTCTCCCCCTTTTTGTTACAAATTGACAAATAAAGCTCAACAAAGAAGGAAAAGAAATAATATGGAAGAATTAACAAGAAAAAAAAAAAACCTAAAAGGAAAATCTTTTTGGATTTATTTTTCCATTTTTCAATTTTTTCATGTTTATGACATTGTAACAAAAAATATGAGATAGCAATTTTCATGAATTTCAAGCATATATGAGATCCAAAAATTTCTGAAGAATTCAAGAGAATTTTAAAACACAATTTTTAGGCCCCACAAATTATTCAATCAAATCAATTCTCAAGCATGCAATGACAACATGAAATTCAACTTGCAATTTTTATAAAAATTTAGAAATTTGTCTAACAAGTGCACATGTGTGTGTGTGCCATCCAATCTCATCAAATTTCAATCAAATCACACTGACCAACTATCTAAATCATATTGATAAAAAAGCATCACGATAAGACTGTTTTGAGCAAATTTTTCTAAGCTAGGCGGCTTTCACTCTAAAGAGTAGACAGCAATTCCCTATTTCGACTTGTCTCTTCCTTTGTTTTTACTCAGTTAGCTCCTCTTCAAAGTCTAGTAGGAGCTTTCAAAATAGTCTCAATAGGTAGCCTTTTCCTTAGCAAAGATTTTCAGCGTTCTTTTGATTTTTCTTTTCTTTTTATGCTGAAATTTTTTATAATTTTTTTAAACACATGCTCTCTATTTTTTTTTTTAAAACAATAACCTTTATAGCTTTAATAAGCAATATGACCTAGTCAACTTCATAATGCTTTCCAATTAATTTCTCAGAGTTGGACTAGTGCACAAGAAAATTATGAACTCAAGAGACACATCTCTAAAAAGAAATAAACAAAGCAAATTGTCTTTCAACATATAAATTACACATCAAGAACCTTTTCAACAAATAATCATGTGTCCCCAATTTGTATTCAAAAATAATTAATTCAAGAGAAATAAGTATCACTCATGCATTGATAAGAAAAATATGATCATCACTTTCTCATAAAAGAAAAACAACATAAATCCTAAACTACAAGATATGGTCCAATGAAAACAAGATATTCATCAAAGCATAGTCCATGACCATAAAAACTCTTTAGGACTTAGTTAGGGGGGTTTGCACCCATAGACCTAATAGGAACAAGTCCCATAGCATCAACAGGCACATAATTAACCAAGTCTTCCTTTTTGTTCCACACAGTCTTTACATTCAACTTTTAAAAAGACTTTTCAATTTCAACCTTTTTCTTGTTTGAGTAATTCTTAGCATGAAAATTTTTGGGTTGATTAACAAAATTTTTCTTTTTAACATGAACCATATTCTTAGCATAAGAACCAAAAGTATGAAATTCAGAAATAGATTCTCTTCTCTTCCTAAAGTAATAATATTGGTTATATGTAAGATCCTTAATTTCAAAAGGATAGTCCTGGTATTTATTATATTGTTTGCATTTGCATTGCATTTATTTTTGTTTAATTGTGTATTTGATTATTTATTTAATTGTTGTTATTTGTTTTTTTATTTAACTGGTGGTTTGCTTATATTTGCATTATTTGAAATTGTTTATATTTGCATAAATTGTATTAAATTAATTATTAGATAATTGTTTTACTGATGTAATTTAGTTGTTTTAATTGAATTAAGTTAATTATATTTAAATTGTTTTAACGTGACTGTATGGAGGCACATATGTATTTATATTAGGGTTTTGTTTACACGGATGTAGCCAACTTAGGGTTGGTTTTGTATTAGAATTAGGGTTGTGCTAAAGCCTATAAATACAGTATTATATGTTGGTTTAGGGTTACATAGAAAAACCCTATTCACTGATACATATACCGTGAGACAGAGAGATACAGATAGTGAAAACTGGTAAAGTTAACGAAGAGGTTCAAGGATACACTGGACAGAGTGCTTCTGGATTGAACCAAGAGCACTTGAGATTTAGAACAGGAGTCTCGAACGTGGACAGAAGCTTCAGAGACGGTGGTTTAGAGTTTCAAAACTGAAACTCAAGGCAAGTCACTATTTTATTCCTTCCCTTTAATTTGTGTTCTGTGCATGCCTATTTAGACCCCAAGGATTAATCAAGCATTAAAACAGATTAAATTAAAGTTAACATTGATCTTGTAAGCATGTTTGAATCAATTTTTAAATCATTGCATAAATCTGTTTTTGTGTAAGAAGTTATTCTTGTTTAAGAATCTGCTTGCACTGGTTGTAATCTTGCTTAACCTTTGTGTATTTAGGATTGAATGCATGCTTTTAATTAATTCTAGGACATCAATTGAACCCTAGAATAAGTTTTAAAAACTGTACAGTGACTCTGGACTTCGCCAGAGGCGAAGAAGACGAATAGGTTAGGGGATACGGCTCTCAAAAGAGGAGAGCAGGCTCATCAAAAAGGTGGAGCAGGCTCCAGGGCTTGTAGAGCTGGCTCTACAAGGGGTAGAGCCAGCTCCACATAAGGTGGAGGTGGCTCCAATGTTCTGAAGGCGGCTCCAACCCTATTTTCCTCCGGTTTTGTGATTTTTTTCGATGGTTTGGGGTTCTGTTGTGTAGTTTGGATTAATTTTAAGTTGTTTAGATTTCAGTTTATGGTCTATATAATTGTTATAAGCATGTAGAAATACTGGGAAGCATGTTAATATAATTATGTTGTAGCATGAAACAACATAAGGTTAAACAGGAAGCTTGCATGTGGAGGGTTGGACAGTTACTTTAAATGGCTTACTGAAATTTGTTTAGCAGTTTATGTTTACATGATTTAATACTGTTAATCGTGTTGTAACACTGTATTGAGCATAGTTAGTTACTTGAAATATTTATGCTGAATTTGGA